TCACCTTTCTAATGAACTGCGAGATCATAACATGCGGTACGATAGTATTTGACAAAGTTCAACTAAATTTTACTTGAATTTTCTATTTTGAATTTAAATTTCTCAGAAACCAAAAAAAAAAATCCTCGAAAATTAATCTGGTTTCTATCCGTGTCAAAACCTCTAAATTTCACGAGTTGCTAACGAGTTGACACGGATCCGGTTGCTAACGGTTTTCATCAGAAACATAAACCTTGCTAACGGCCGGAGTTGTTACATAGGCTGTGTTCGGCGCCCCTTTTCCCAACCCCTTCTCACTTGTATTTTACGGGCACGCTTTTTAAACAGTTAAATAATGTGTTTTTTATAAAAAGTTCCTATACGAAAGTTACATAAAAAAATCAAATCAATCATTTTTTTAAAAAATTAGCTTATATTTAATTAATCACGTGCTAATAGACCATTTTATTTTATACGCGTATGTTCTGGTTGGGTACATGTACTTGCGAACCCAGCCGTAGCATGATCCGGAAAATGTCTGATATAATGAAAGAAAAGTCAAAAAGTGTTATCGGTCGATTGAGGCCAGACTCTTAGCAATAATTCAATGGAAAGAATGTGAAAATATTTTTGGCAATCAAATCCTATTCAGCTTTCAGACGTCCATCTTTTGATAGAAAGAAAATATATATATTCAATTGCTCCTAGAAAAAGAAGGAGCAGAAGAAATTCATTTCTATATATACCCCCATATATATCATCCATCGATATTCGATCTCTCCTCTCCTAGTGTTTCCATTTCTTATTATGATTTAAGATAGTAAACATTGTTCATGAAATTATATATGGAACTAAAATCATATCAGGTTAATCAATTTTGGCAATCATATTCATATCTGAAAACAATCGTTCCATTTTCTCAATATGGAATAATTAACACTAACATATCTATATAAACGACGCCGATTAATTATTATTAGCACGCACACATACGCATCGAGATCGATCCATCATCTTCATCTCACATCTCAGATCTCATCGATCATGGCTACCGACGCACAAATCTGCTGCCAGAAGCTCTTCGCCTTCTTCTTGTTCCTCATCCTCGTCGCCGTCGTCGTCATCGCCGCCATCCTCTCCTCCCAATGCTTGTCGTTGCCGTGTTGTTATAAATCGATATTCGGAAGTGGATGACGGCTTAGAATAATTTTTCTTCAATGATGTATTAGTTTGTACTTTCCTTTTTTTTTTTTTTGTGAGATGCACTCGTGTGTTCTTCGTGAGGCATGAATTATCTTGTGTGATTCTTAGGCTTTTATATAAATTATATATATTGGTTATGTTTACGACTGGAGCTACACGCTTGAAGTTGGTTATTGTGTTCTTGTTCTTGCTAGCTATACAATATTTGATGGTTTTTTTTAGTGGAAAAATTTTAGATATAACTATAGTATAATTTATGTGTATAATGGATAAAGTGAGCGCGGCCGGCTGGCTTGTCCATCCTACAATGTTCAACTCCCAACTCTCGTGAGCGCTTGCAAAATTGTTTCCTCCGATCCAATGGCCCGCTCTCATGTTTGTTTGCAATTTTTTTTTCTCTGATCCGGCAGTTAAAAATTCAAAAGTTCTGGGACAGTGTGAATCTCGAGACTATCAAACGGTTAAAATTTTGAAAGTTTTGGGAGAGAAACGGCCTAATGATTTTTATGTGAGTCTTGAGGCGATCCAACAGTTCAAAATTCAAAAGTTTTGGAGGAGAAAAACGGTCGGATGGTTTTTATAATTCTGTAGTGAAGTTGAAACATGCTAATTTATGATGCATACGAGAAGGTGGGGGCTAGTCCCTCCCATACCCGATTTTGAATTTCAAATGTATTTGGTTTAAATTGAAGTTGAATCAAATTAATTATCCGTGTGTATCAATGGTATACTAGAGCCTGAAGTTAAATTGATAAATAAATCCAAAGTGTTTGTTTTTGATAGAATGAAAGTAGCGAAAGAGCTACTCCCTCCGTCCAAAAAAACTCAATTTATAGAGTTTGAATTTTGTCCCATAGAAAACCAATTTCTACCGTTCTACCTACCTCAGCATGTAAAACGAGAAGTTTTATCCCTTCAATACCCTTTATCTATCTATCACTCTTACTATTTTTTTTTTCAATTATTAAGGGCATTTTAACCATTCTCTATCTCCACTAATTCCACCTCGGGATGCTAGGAATGTATTTTTTATGGGACGGAGAGAGTACTTTACTGTGCCATGCCAACAAATCGATTTTCTATCCAGACGTTACAGACCGGAGGGAGTACTTTACTGTGCCATGCCAACAAATTGATTTTCTATCCAGACGTTACAGACCGTTGGATCCTTAACTGGTAAAATATCTTGTTGATTCTTCATAAAAACTTCTTTATACAACGATGTCCTTCCATGTCCCTGTGGTAAAAAAAAATTATGAATCCAGCCGCAGTTGCCTTGTCTTTGTTCAGGGAATCACAAAATTCAGATATTGTTACCATCCAGTGTGATACCTGATATCAATATACTATCCATTAAAATTTAGATATATGTTTGGCCTTTTATTTTATTGAAAAATTGTACAAATATAAAAAATATAAGTGAGGCTAAAGTACATTTTATGATAAAACAAGCCATGTCAAAAGGCTTAAGTACATTTTACCATAAAACAAGCCATGTCAAAATTAATAATATTTATATACTCCATCCGTTTCGTAATGTAAGTCATTCTAGCATTTCTCACATTCATATTAATGTTAATGAATCTAGAAAATGCTAGAATAGACTAGATTCATTAACATCAATATGAATGTGGAAAATGCTAGAATTAATGACTTACATCGTGAAACGGAGGAAGTATCTTTTTAATAAGAGGATGATTAAAATATAATTTTTTTGCCGGGTCGGCAAACAACCGACCAGAGTGTATTAAGATGGAAGAAAGAATTCACAGCTCACGCCTCACTGAGCACGCCTAGAAAAGAATCCCGCTCCCAACCCACTATACAAATACAACTGAGAGAGAGGCGGTCAAGCCCGCTTCTTGCCACGATTTCCACTCATCCTCGATGGCGGCACAAAGATTCACCGGCAAAACTGCTTGACCCTCAAAGACACGAGCATTACGCTCTGTATACATTAGCCAGGTCACCTAGATGACGTCTGCATCAAAAGCTCTCTTGTCCCGTTTCGTGATTGTTTTGCGAGCATCACACCACCAAGAAGGAAATTCAAAACTAACGGTATCTTACATTTAAAATGGAGGGAAGAAGTACTTTCTACTGCTCTAGCAATATAGGAGCAATGTTACAAAACAGAGAAAGAAATCGGATAATGTTATTGTTCTCGATCGAACTAACGTTCGTTTATTCAGCTATCCTAACAACAATGCAATGGAAAGATTACGAAAAGATTTTTGGCAATCAATCTTATTCTGCTTTTATATGCCCAAATTTTTTTATCATATAAAGATTATGAAAAAAGATATTTGACAATAAATCTTATTCAACTTTAAATATACATATGCCCAGTTTTTTTAGATAACTTTCCTCCAATTGCTCAAAGCTTATAGTAGAAAGAAAAAGAGAAGAGCAGAGGAAATTAACTCTACCTATAAACAACCATTCCATTTTCGGTAATCATGTCCATATCTAAAAAACAACCATTCCATTTTCTCAATATGGAGATAATTAACACTAACACGCCCATATAAACGACGCCGATTTGGTGATCATCATCTCACATCGATCTCTCTATCTTTGTCTCTTATTATGGAGCAGCAGCAACAACGATTCCATGTCAACCATCGGATTGTCGCCGGCGACAACGGAAGGGGCGCCGCCGCACGCGCTCGCGCCGGCGATGGCCTCGTCGGCTGCTGCTGGTTCCTCATCTTCGGTGGCTTCGCCGCCGTCGTCGCCGCCTTCTTCCTCGCCTTCCTATGCTTGGCGAAGTCGTGTTACAACTCATGAAAAATCTCTGTAAAACTATATATAACCTGCTGAGGATTAATTAGCTAGTCTTTACTGTTTTTTAGCTTCTTTTTTTTCAATTTTTTTTAGTTCGTGTTTGGGAGACATGAATTATAATGCTTACGTTTTTCAACTGGAGGTACACGCTACTAGTCTTAAACTTTGTTTTTTTATTTTATTTTATTGGAGTTGGTGTTTGGGAGAAATGAATTATGATTCATGTGCTTTTGTATCGTTTACGTTTATAACTGGAGCTACATGCTTGGAGTAGGTTATTATGATCATTTTATCGATTTTGATAGCAAAGTAGAAGCATATCTAGAGTTGTTTAGTTAATTTTATCAGGATAATTGTATCACTTCTATGTTATTTAATGAATTCAACAAATAAGCTTCTATTGCTTAAAAAAGTCGGTGGGTGTCCAAAGGCCAAAATTTATATTTCCCTTGTCGCCCCAAAAAGTTAGTGTGCTACTATGCATGGGCTTGTCACATCTCCTATTTGATTTTCAAGTATATTAAATTTGCAATTGAATCGAATTATTTAGCTGCTTGCATTTATCGGAACAGTCTGAAAATAATTTGACAGAAGAAAATCCAGAGTGTTTTGTTTTTGATAGAATTAAAGTTGAGGAGCAAATCTATTCATCTGTCCTAACAATAATTCAGTAATGGGCGTGCCTGCATTTGCGTTGTTGGGTCAGTTTTCTGAAATACTCGACTGATTGACTGAACACCACCTATATATGCCTTTTATCATTGAGATCTCTGAAACTTCTGCATCTTCCTGACAATTATTGAGCAGTGATCATAGACTGATAGTCCTTGTCAGTGTGATCCATTTGTGTTGTACAATACAATGCATTCATTCATAGATCAAAATGCATCACATGCCATCACTGCAAGCTGTTGCCAAGCAGACATCAGCTTTGGGTGACAGTCAGAGAGATTGTACCAATCACCTGGGTCCCAGTGTTCCTGCAAGCAGCATTAGTTCACTATTGTTTGACTACAATTTCCCATCTGATGTGCTATTCAATCTGATTGTGATTGCATTTGGAGGCTGAGTTTTTACATGTTTCAACTATTCAGAAACAATGAGCAATGCATAAATATTATCATAGGTTTATGTATATAATATGTCAATCTTGTTCGGTCATACAGACGATTCGACGAATTTTGAGCACTAGGTATTTAGCAAAACTCTCATTTATTCCGCAGGCTCTCTCCATATCCAAGGAAGGAAGGTGGAAATTGGGGGGAAAGGGAGATAAAAAAGGAAGAAAAAAAATGCTTCAGGGAAGAACTCTATACATGTGCACTCAAAGCATCGGTTTGAGAAGCTCTTTTCTGAATATTTATGGCACTTCAGCAGTTCAGCTGCTGGGCTTCTGGTCTGTACCAGGTGAGGCCTGAAAAGATTCAGAAAAAAAACACACTCTTCAACTAAGGTCACATCATGAAAAAAATCAGGTTGCAGTGCAATATTAGCCATTAGATGATGCTACTGTAAAATTGAATGTTTTCAGATAAAGGAACTAAATATGAAATTGAAGTGTCCTGTTGATGAACACTTACCCCAACTGATGTCACAAAATTGCAGACTGCGCATTTGACAGACCTTGCGCCATACTGGTACATGAGCAGCATACGGCAGTTCCCGCAGTTTACATGCGCAACTTGATTTGCTGCCATCAAGAACATGGGAATCATTTGTTATTCAGTGTGTTTAAGATTATATGAACAAACACTCATCTTTCAGAAGTCTGCCTTAAAGAAAACTCTGAACTCTGAACAAATTATATGGAACTTCAGAACTTGATGCTAAATTAGGTGTCCTTGTGAGACCTTCAGTAAGTATAGGATACTACTGTAGCACATCTTGTAATTGTAGGAGATATTTCATCATACTCTGGTAAATCTAGTGTATCCTTGTCAAACTTTTTTGTTTTCTGAACCATAGCCAACTCTCATGAATATGACTGGAATACAAGCCAACTCGACGATGTTTATTGCTACCGACTGATTGCTGTTGCTTTCAGCCACAGGAAAATATTCTGTTCAGGAGGAGGATTTTGCATACTGGAATCAAAGCCACAGAATATACCAATTGCAACAGAGGAGGAGGATGATAAATTTTGGTAGTACCTTCCATAGCCAGGTTGACAGTGTGACAGCAAGAACATTGCACACTCGTCGCACCGCGTATATACATCAGGAGAGTGTGGCATCCTCCGCAAACTAACTGCGCCATCTCGGTTCCTGCACAGAAATTCCAGGTAGGAAAATCATTGGCAAAACTGCATTTCAGAACAAAATTTCAGCAAATGCAAAACTCATGCATCGATTTCAAGGGAAAACAGGCTATCCCCTTTAATCTCTCTTTACATTTTTGTGAACATTGCAGCTATATTTCTGCTCTAAAAACCAAAAACTACTCACTTTTGTAAATAAAACAGAGGGTACAATATAAACTTCTAAACTACTATAAAATTTAGATGCAAAGAAACTCAATTTTCAGATGCCACATTACTTACAAACAAAACCTTGAGATGTAAAACCTGAGTGAATCATGTGCATACCAGGAGCAGGCACAGCAGTCACGGTACTGCAAACTGCGCAGCAAACCGACGTTGCTCCGGCTGGATACATGAGCAGATTACGGCACCCAGAGCACACGAGCTGGCTTTGAGCCCCTGAAATTGCACAATCATGGCTCTTCAGAGACTGACTGAATCTCACATTTCAGCAGCTAACATTTTCATTTTCAGACAACAAAAGCATCTTCCATGCAATGTTTTCATTTCAGACAACAAAACTCAGCAGTAAAGAACTTCCATTTTATCAAGTGGGAGTTCTCTCTGAACTTATTTCTATGAGCAGAATAAACTGCTACCTCTGAACCAGGAACAGTAACATTTGATTCAACAAAAACTGTCTAAGAAAGTTTAGTTCACAAGATTTCTAATCCAAAAGCATGCACCAGGGCAAACACTTAATATGCACATCTTGAGAAAAGATTAAATTAATCAGTCAGCCCAACATTTTCAGGTGACCAGCCAACATCAGGGGAAAAAAAACTAAAAAAGTAGCTGTGTTCTTGCAGTGCCAAGTTGGAATCCATACCATTGGGAGGTGTAAATGGCACAGGCGGGGTTGGGTATGGAGCAAGGGGAACCGGCATTGCCGTGCCGGCTGCCTGAACGACGGCGTCGCTTGTAGATGCTTCGCAGATTCTGGCAGCAGTCAGGCAACTGAAATCACCTTTCCTTTCCCTACATGAAAGAAACCCTGCAGAAAGATGCATGAGAAGCTGATGAGAAAGCAAGAAAGATTTCAGTTCTGAAGAAACCAGTGAAAGCTCCAATGGAAAAATGTTAGAACATCACGCTTCAGTTTGCAACATGAAGTTTCAGGACTCTTTATGCAACAGAAAATTGGTTCAGCAATGCACATCAGGTGCAAAAAATTTCAGCTTCTTGGTTGAATCTCTCATCAAATCTTGTGTTCAGATTCTGTTTACATATACCCAAAAAAATAAGAACCACCCGATAATTGAAAATTCATTGGTGGGTATGGCATCCAGGCAAAGAGCTATTTGAGTACTTTTTTTGTGCTAAAATACCAACAAAACTCACATGAACTTTTATTAGTTTGGAGAGATTAGCCACACCACTTGGGATTCACGGCCAATAACGTCCATGAAAACTATTTCCCATTGATAACCTGATAAAAGATGAGCAAGAACAAGTACATGATAAGGTAGGTGGATATAAAATTACCAGCTAAATCTTGAGTCCAAAAACAACAAGGAAATGCTTGCCATCAGCAATCAAGAAACAGGTAAAGAATCATGAACAAGACCAGAGCAAGCCAAAGAGAAGATAGAAACTCAAAGATGGAGGAATTATCAACCATTCAACAAAAAAACATCCAGAGAGAAAAAAATAATTAGGAGCAGAAGCAGCACCTAACAACAGTGCTTATGACCCAATCTTTATGGTAATCTGGCTTGCATGAGAGCAGTTCATCAGTTAGTACAGCTCTCTCTATCTCCTCTCTCTTACAGTGTGAGATAGAGCTTGGCAAATTTATAGGGGAGAAGAAAAAAGGAGGAGCTCATATGATAGGAGGCCAAAAAGGTACCCCCAAAAGTTTCTCACGGCTTGAAAGGACTTTTCTCTTTGTGCTCAAAGAGAGTTTTGTTTCTTGAGCTATTACTGTCCCAGGTATTACTTTTCATGTATTACATACAATTTTTTGTACTAAAACAACTGCTTGAGACAAAATATAATCCATTAGGAGCATCGGAATGGGAATCGTGCATTTCTGAAGCAGAAAGTTAAAGGAGCTGAAAATTTTATTTCTAAAAATTCAATTAGTGACCATATATGCATATTAGGATATCTGAAAGTCTTCCCTTTGTTTGGATAGAGCAGAAGCAGTCCACAATTTGCACTCTTCTGATATCCTAGTCATCCATGATGCAACAAGTTCCCTTAAATGTGAAACTTTGGATGCAAGATTTCAACAAACATGAGAATGACAAATCATCACTTCATCCTGTGTGCCAACCAGCCCATGGTTTTCATGGTTTGACAAGATACAGTGAAATAAGTGACGTAATAATGGAAAAGTTTAACTGAATTCCTATCCTGAATTTCCTTGTATTTCAAGCTTATTGGTGACAAAAATAATTTATAGGTAAAACTCTCCTTTTGAGAAATTTTACGGTCCTCGAGTAGGTACCACTCAGATCCGACCGTTAATTTGCAAAGGGCATGATTGGCATCAGTCTATAAACAGTAAACAGTGCCTACGACTGACGTCATCTCTCCTGTCCGCTTGCACAAGCAGGGCGGCTGGCGTCGTCGATCTACTTGATTTTCCCATCAATGGAGTTCGAACGAACTAAGCAACAACCACGTATACTCTAACACTCTACTTGATCGCTGGCTGCGTGCAGCATCAGGAGCAAACCCCTCGACCAAGAACACTAGTCTTACCATCAATGGAGAATGAGAATGAGCATGAGCATGAGCAGAGGAGGCCACAGCCGTCGGAGTCCACACGCTGCAGGAGATTGACGGCGGCCGGCGGCGGCCGTGCGCGCGAAAGAAGGAATGGAGATGGCGGTCGTGTAGTGTGAGAAGGAAAAGGGGGAGAAAATAGAATGAAAAATGGATCGGAAGAAAGAGTTTGATGCGATATTACAGATGTACCCTCCCACCATCGAATCGGACCGGTAGCCATTCGATTATTATCCCACCCAAAAATTAAAATTGTTCACTCTATTATCACATCGAAGAGTTGAACACGTGTATTAAATATTAAATATAAGCTAAAAAAACTAATTAACTAATTGTACAGATTGCGACAAATTTGCGAAATGAATCTTTTGTCGAATTGCTCCATGATTTGACAATGTGTTGCTACACTAAATATTTACTAATAATAGACTAATTAGGCCTAATAAATTCGTCTCGCGGTTTACCGGTGGATTCTGTAATTAATTTTTTTATTAGTGCCCGAACACCCTATGCAACACCCTATATAATATCTTATGTGACACGCTAAAACTTTATGATCTAAACACACCACATGCAAAATCAACGGTCCTAATATGTACGGTAAAAAGTCTCAAAAAGAAAAAACTACATTAAAGTATCCTATAATAAACACTTTAAAATTTAAGTTATAACTTTGGCTGATTCATTGTAGGGCCATTCTTCTGAAAATTCTCAATTGCATCTATTTTCATTTACCTCACCAAAGAATCAAAAATGGCCCAAAAAAAACTTATGGGGAAGGTAGGTATTAGTAATAAGCAACTAAATCATCTAGAGAAAATATTTTTTTTAAAAAAAATAAAATAAACAGTTGCAAAGTGAAAAGAAATTCTTGTGTGGCCCACCTGTCAGGCTAGTTGTAGCTCACGTTTGAGATGTGTGGGAAATAGTGGCTCAGGAGATGCCACGCGCACACCAGACAAGTCACGGGGCTCGTACAAAAAACGCTGGGTCCACACACGTTATCACACAGTAGTAAATAAAAGTGAGGACAATGGACCATACAAACTGCCCACTATTTTGTGAGGCACAGGTACGAACTTTGTTTTATATAAAAATTGGTTACACTATATTGTACCTTCACAATGGTTATAATTTTTTTTGCAAGGAATATGGAGTCAATGACTTTTATCATGATGAAATAGACTGTCTTTGTATGTATCTATATTCCTTTAGAAAGGGTGTGAATCTGTCACCCCCACCTACTTCCATTGTAATTTTCGCAAGTTAACTCTGAACTTTTTTTTAATGTTCAAAAAAAACTCTGAACTTTTTAATATTAAAAAGATTAGATCTAAATGGATAGCCACATGAAAAATTTAGAGTAAAATGAATATTCCCTATAAAAAAAGTGGGAAACACATTAATACATTTTCTTTTATCTGTAGTAAAGTATGAGCATTTAACTAGTTATATATATGTGCATAACTTCCTAACTTTATTTGGTATCCAAGATAGAAAAATATTTTTTATTTTGACATGTGCTTGATTCCACATGTAGATAGTGTGGATCAACAGACCGCCTACATGAAGGCAACATAACCACATTAGCATTTCGATCCACTATATGGACAAGGATGTACCTGTTTGCCACTGGTATTAACCAGTCAAAATCTATAGTTTTGAAAATACACCATAAAAGTATTAGCAAAACTTGAGATATATATGTACATTAAATAGAGGAGGGGTGGACTAGGGTTGGTTGGTTGAACAATTATGGTTATAATCAAACTATCAAATGGCGTATGTTGCAGGGCAGGGATTAGTAGTTCTTGTGTCCATTTGTGTCTTGATGAAGTATACTGTCTTTGTATGTATTATATGTGCATATCGTCCTAACTTACTAGAGAAATCCCAGTGATTATTTTGGGAAGCACTCTTCTGAAAATAGCCAAGCATATTAGACCCAAAAAAAAAAAAAGATTGCAAGATCATAAGCGTTCTTGTATATATGCAATTCACTATGTTTCTAATCTCAATGCTATTTTTTGTGCGACCATCATATGTAATAAGCTAATTGTTGCAAGGATCAATTAATTCTACAGAGGATTTACTGCAAAGGAATCTACCAAATATACATATACAAAATACATCGCATTTGGTTGAAATGTATGTAATATGCAAATAAATAAATATACGAAGTAGTTTTTTTTTTCAATTTTGACATGTGCTCGATTCCACGTGTAAACGGTGCATATCGTCGGACGACCCTACATGAAGGCAACATAGCCATTAGCATTATCGATCCTCCCCTCTATATAGACAGGGTTGTACCTGTGTTTTTACTTGTATTAACCAATCAAATCTACAGTTTTTTTCACGAACGCGCAAAAGGATTACACGTCAATATATTAAAAGAAAATAAAGTTTCTGTTACACAACGTAATCAGCCAGACGGTTGGGAACAAGGAATAAAGAGAAAAAACAAAAGGACTACTATGGTAAAGGAAAAAAAAAGACTTTAGATATACATGCACATTAAAAAGAGAAGGGGTGGCCTACGGTTGGTTGGTTGAGCATTCTGGTTAGAATCAAACTGGCATCTGTTGCAGGGCAGGGATTAGTGATGCTTGTGTCCATTTGTTGTGGCAACTTGAGACAAACGATGGATGAGTGGCTGCCAATGAGCACGTCCCCGTTGGTAGATATCCCCGTGATCTCTTGGACCCCCACATACAAACAATTCCCCATGTATTTATACACCATCTCTTCATCGTGAAATCACAATCTTATCGCCCCAAAATCAGACCATCCGAAAAACGTACATCGTAGTTACGGTTTCACTCGTATATTTTCAATTATAGCAATATACCTATTTTTTTTCACAAACAAATCACTCAAACAACTATTGCGTGCGACCAGCCTTATCTCTCAATTTTGTTATTACATGGTTCCTGTGACGAAACTTTAACCATTCATTTCTATATATCATCTTAGATGTATCTGGCCTTGTATACATATCACGCCAGATACTTTATTCTCTTATATCTCCTTCGATACGTAGAAATTGTATAAAAATTAACAGTTCAATTTAAACGCGAATCACGGAAAATTATCGCCTTCTAAACTTGTATTAGGAGCATACATACAGGTTTGAAGTTCAGATGCAATGAGGTTGAGCTGAAAGCAAAGTACTAGCACCAACCTAGCAGCAGTACTGTGGCCAACATTGACATGCCACAGCTAGCAAACCACCTCCAAAGTGGATAACAGGATAAGGCAGCCAACCCATAGCTTTCCTGTGCCCATGAAGGACACTCCCTGTGCCTGTCTGCAATGGACTAGCATTCAGTAATTTTTTGTCAATACTTCTCAACATCCAGCCATTCATCCATGCCAATGGCCAATGCCTCCCAGGGAACAGTAACAACAATACTAGAGAGTCAGACAGAGAGATGGAGATTGAGATATACATGCTACGCTTTGGTTACTACTGTTACAGTTACAGCTTCAATTTCCGCTTTCATTGTTTGTCTTTTAGCTTATCAGCCAAAGCCAAAATTTAAATTTTAAAACTTAATTCGAGAGTTGATTTTGATGTGTTTTTTTGTCGTAGTTTATTTTCTAGTATTAGCTTTTAAACCACTAAAGATACAAATATAAAAGTTTTATCTATAAATTATTTTGATTGATTCGTTCATTCTTGCATATGTTCAGAGATCAAGGCCAAAACCATTAGCAAGTTAATAATCAATGGAGCTGAGGATGCAGACACCTGTTGTGAGTAGTGAGTACACTGAGTAGTGTGACCCCTTGGTGTTCTTCCAAGTTTGGTCATTTTCAGCATCAACTTGCACACTGCTGCTTCTTACCGTGTGGTTCACTGTCACGCATGACGGGTAAAGGTTCTGATTGGCTGGTCACCCACAATTATTGGACAACACATTGGTTTGTAGACATTGAGGGTTTCGTCGGAACGTATGATTAGGAAAACAAAATACGTATAGGAATAGAAATACATGTAAGAGATCCTAATGTATGTTTAAATTCAAATGGTTCTCATGTAGAATCAGTGGTAAAGGAAAGTTTGCTCGCTTTCTCTATGCCCCAATCTTCCATTCAAATGGATTAACATATAAATCAAAATTCTTGCCTCATGACCCTGCTCTCCTCAACATCGCCGTTAATGTTCCATTCTTGTTCGGTGCAGCCCTTGTTCTTAATTTTATCGTGGGAGACAGCCTTCTAGGCTGTTGGCGATCAAATGGAGGTAGTTATATGGGTAGTGGCTTCTTTCGGGATGGGTCTGATCCGATTTATAGATTCGGCAATATTAACGCTTGTATGTTGTCTCCTTGTTGAAGGTGTCGTGTTAGACTTTGATGAAAATCTTGTTTTGACTACAGATTATACCAGCAAACAAGTAATGGTTCCTTCTCGATGGTGTAATTTTAGAGGAGGTTTATATAGGTCGTTGTATATGTTCAGTGACTGAGAAGTTTTC